CTAAAAGTTCTCAGAACGAGGGTATGTACCTTGTAAAGTTTGGGCCCTTGGGAAGATTTTTAACAGCCATAACTTCAGAAAAAAGGATTCTCCAAAATTGGATACGCTTGTTGGAGTTAGTTTTAGAAAGCGTTCAGCTCATTACGTCTTCGTTTTGCTCTCTTTTTGTCATTAGAGACAAAGCAGAGAGTTAATTTCCGTGCCTTCCTTATTACAGTCGTGTCTAGTTGAATGATTAGATCGTACAAAATAGCGCAAGTATAGTAAATCATCAGTGAAACGTCTACAGGATAAATACTTCAATACATACTAACATTCCCAGTCAAATTTGAATAGTCTAAAGTGCATTTATTTAAACGAGCGCACTCATAAACATCCTCACACATAATATGTCCACACTCGCGCACTCGCGTGCTGGCACAAGTTAGAACACACACACACTCTGATTAGTAATACATTTCAATAACTCACAAAAACAATAGGATAAAAAATAATACCGTAATAATGCAATATCACGATAATAATATTGTCTATTCACAGCACTTATTATGCTATACACATACAGTTATACTTACGCACGCAACCTGGAACTATGCTTACGCACATTCAGAGAACGAACATAACCATGTGTATCCACACATTTTTAGGCACATGCACACACACACACACACACACACACACACACACACACACACACACACACACATAGATACACACACGCGTGTGCACACACACACAAACTAGTTACTATCTCAGGACAAAAGGAGACACATTTAAAATTAGTACAGCATATAAAATAGCAGAAATCTAAATTATATTGTAAGTGCTCTACAGCAGTAAAACACCCACTTCCTTCTCTCTCTCTCTTTCTCCCTCCCTCTCTCTCTCTCTCTCTCTCTCTCTCTCTCTCTCTCTCTCTTTCTCTCTCTATGTCTCTCTCTTTCTCTCTTAATTTGACGTTCTCTTTCCACCTTTTTTTCTCTCTATGAGACTCAAAATCTTACCTATATGACTCTCTTTCTCTCTGTCTCCCTCTGATGACCCCGTTTCTCTTTTATCAATCTTTGAAACACATGACTAAGCAACGATTCGGTGTAGAGAGCTCCACATACCATTCTGAAGTATGACTTTATAGTGCGGTAAAAAAATCGTTGTGCGACTTGTTTTCAAATATTCTCCTCAACTATCGAACATAGGTTCTCCAATTTTTGCACTTGGCCTTATATCAATATGGCTTAACAGATTAATATTTTTGTAAACACCTGCAAGCTGTATTCAAGAAAATTCCTTAATAAATACTAATAAAAAATTCAAGTGCGTGGTTTCTACAGATTTTTAAATGTTTACAGCTGGGGCAATATAACTTTTAATAGCAAGTCCGTCAGGTTTTTGTAATCTAGACATTATGCTTATTGAATGCATGATTTGAGAACCATTAATGAAAAAATGTGTTCACTATAGCAATAATTTTTTGTAACAAGTTTTGCAAGTAAACATTGTCGTTGATGAACTGTGACATAGGCCATATACGTAATCAAAATGTGTGTGAGAAGCAGGACATGCTGTAAACAATACCATTTTACGTGTTTCAGAGGTTTCAAGTATTTTATATAAATTTATGAAGAAATGTTTGTTCTAGAAAAAATATGATTTAGTTAAGACAAATTGATACAAACTGCTATGCAAAGTATGGATGACATTGATTCACCCGTTAAGGAGATATTTGAAGATAAGTTGCTCCACGAATTTTTGACCGCACTATAAGTTTAGTATAATTTCAATGCTGACGATACCCAAATTTTTGGTTCAGCAATGTCTACCAAAATTTATGAACATTTTCATTGTGCTGAAAATAGTATTATGTCAGTGAAAAACTGAAGGAACAAAAATGATTACCTAGATTTGCATAACGATAAAACAGAAGTCTTTCTGGCAGTAGGTGCAAAGTCTATCAATGAGGTAAACGACAGAAGGAAACAAATCATTATTTGGATTTAGCCCGATGATGACTTCAAACACTTTTCATTCTTTTAAATAGCTAAATTATTGTTACGACACAAAACGCGCCGTGAGCCGTGCTAAGGTGTATGCTGGAAACATAGTTTGTTACAATACAATGGTTTGTTCGCCTACCATCCCATGGAAAAGAATTGTGCGACTGATTAGGAAAACAAATCACACCGAAAGTAGACGAAGAAATGCAAGTTCAAAAGATTTTCCCCTGATTTACGTAGGTGAAAAACAACACACAGATTAAAAGAAACAGCAAAATTTGAGAAATATGCTCACACTTCACAACGAAAAAAAAGCAATCATTTTTTATGCTTGCTACGCTGTTTGGCTTGTGACTCGTTTATCTTATTTGGTGCATGGTCATGACTCAAAGGAAACAAAGCTATTTCCAGACTAAACAACACTGAAAAAGGGCAGTGCCTATTGCATTGGTGTACAGTTAAAACATGAAAGAAACTTCGAGTACAGTCTGACGCTAGCTGACTAAAAAACAGTACTGTACAAAAACTAAAGCAAAGCTAATACTCACAACAACAACGGTAGTGCATTTTTGTGTGCCTAAATTCTTGGGGATGATCCTGTAAATGTCATTTACAAGTACAATACATGATGATACGGAATGTATAATACAAAATAAATCGTTAAACTGCATACACCTATTTCATTTCGGGACTTATTTGTTGTCTTAATTCTAAAAAAAATGAAATTGTACTGACCCCCACCCCACCCCACCCCACCCCTTTCTCTCTCTCTCTCTCTCTCTCTCTCTCTCTCTTCCGTAGTATGATTATTACCCAGATAAATAAATCATAATTTGTACAGTTTTTGTTTGTTTTAGTAGAGTTTTTACGCGCTCGCAACTGCATAAGGTCATATGAGCGTCATTGTATGGCTTTACAATCATGCTGCACAAAGACTCTACACGTTTGTTTTGCTAATTACATCAACGTTTAAACTTCCCTGAAATAAACAATTTCAGTTCATGTTTGCAAACACGGGTTTTGGGGGCTCTCGTGGTCTAGAGGTTAAGGTCACTTTCTTCCCCCACCCTTCACCTCTTTTACCGCCTCCACTGGGCTCCTGACTCTTTCTGCAGCCTTTCTACTGCTACTCCTTGGCTCCTTATTACTGCTGTCTTTCAGCCACACTCTGATCTTCTGATAGAAATGATTTATATATATATATATATATATATATATATATATAATTATATATACTACACCTACCCTTCTCGGACAAGGACGAAAAATCCCACGTTAAAGATCCCTTCGTGGTCTAAAATCGAAAAGAGTAGGCTTCAGCCGCCACCCGGGCAAAATTCAAAATATCCTACCAATTGAAATTGTGTAATGTGTCCCGCGTGATTATAATACCTTATGCAGTTGCGAGCGCCGTAAAACACTTACAAAAAAACCCCAACAAAAACACAAACAAACACGGATTTTCCTCTTCTTAGCCGTCATGCTTTGGTCATTTTGTATCCCATTTTACTTATACAATGCTCACAACATTAGAATTTGCTCAGAATACCCGCTGGATTGTCCTAAACGATGGTAGTTACAGATGGTTCTATCACAATATAGTGCCAAAACTTTAAAACAGCAACTCAAATTCCTGTCATTGAAGCCAATGCTAAAAAGGCGAAAAACGCATAGTTATGCATTAGAAATATTTCAAACATACAGGGGGTTTTCCCCAAAACGTCCTCCTCATTTTACTTGTAAAAATCTCATAATCCAGCCAAAAACAAAATTGTTTGGAAATCGTATATATGTATTTTTGCAAGCCATACATGACTAATATCGCCCATTGCAAGCATACCAAATGCGATTATTTTTTTTTCTATGTCTATGGTACACCTTGAGTTAGATCTGGAAACGAAAAAGGCAGCCTTTACAAATATTTGGCCGGTATCAAAATTTCCTAGAAACAGGAAATGTTATCCCGGGTAATAAATGTTTGGAAAATGTTGCAAAGATTGAGAGAAGATAAACAAGTTTCGCATCTTTAGCAGCGGAATACTTATTTTTACAAAAAGAATTTGTGAATTGCGAATTTTAAACATGTCAGTGTAATCATTGGAATGCCTCTTGTAAGTCTTAAAGGCAAAGGAACTATGGTTTCAAATATCTATTTTATACTTATGGGTAAAACAAATTTTTGTAGAACATTTAAATTATAAATCCTGGAGTCCTATTGACATACGCACTATTTTGTTCCTTCCTAGTTGACGAACCAGATATCACCTCCAAACAAATCTCAGGCAGTTGTTTTTTGTGAACTCTATTTTATTCTCTGAACAACACTCGAATTGTAAACCCCTGTGTTATATTATTATTCATTTTGCGTCAATTGCAAATTTTCCCAAGAGTTTCAAAAATAGTTTGCCTGTCTGTTTTCGCCCTCTTCCATATTATTCTTCCATCTCATCTATACTATCGTTATAAAAAAGTACGATCCAGAACAACGACGACGAGAAAAAGAGACTCACTTACGACAGCAACTCCATAAATGATTATCGTTGCTACATACACACCAACAACCTGGTGGAGGTTAACATTAATAATGGCGACACCAACAGTAAAACTAGTGCAGCCTTCGGGTAAAAATAAACGAAGAACAAACAAACAAACGACAACACCAATTTCAACATTAACAACAATAACGAAACCGAGAACGAAACTGAGCAGACACAGTTGGCACATTTATTCTTTAGAAGTCAATCCTTTTCGTGTTGACCGCATCAAGGGATAAAAACAGCAATCGTCTGGGGCTTTCGACCAAATAATTTAAATTTGTGTAACAGTCAGAAAAAAACGACCAGTAGAGTGGAAACAAACATCAACAGCAGCAGTTACAATAGCAACAGAGGCCAGAGGAATTACAAAGTTACAAATTTGAACAGACAAAAACACTTCAGCTAGTGCAAACAGATTTGAATCTTGACATGATATAACGGCAAGGATAGATTATCTGTATTAATGTGAAGCAACTCTGCCGTTTTAAGCACCCCCGAAAAACATGTAAAATTGAATCCCAAGTACAAGAAGCTCTGTTATGAGAGCAAATAATAACAAAATAACGTCCTCGTTTTATAAAAAAATGCGTATTTCGAAACTCAACCTTCCACATAAATGAAAAATTTTAACTTCGGGACTGGACAGTTGAGCTTAAAGAGGACAAAGAAATAACTAATTTTTAAGTAACAAGTTCCAATTTTAAACGTCTTCCATTTGATCATTTGCTTTTAACGTGGTAATATACAAATGCACGTTATCATCCGAAGCAGATATTTAACTGTCGTTTTGTCTGGAAGCAGAGACGCCTTTTATGGTTTTGGTCAAGCCTGATATGAACAAAAGGTGAGCTCCCACCCGACCACATTCCCAGAACCAAACGTGTCTCATTTTGCACTGCTCTTATCTTTCACACAATACATAACTCGCCTAGACAACTACAAATAATGTTTAATCAAATTACAAAGAAGAAATGGAATAAAGTACACTTAACTACTGGTCACAAGGCAGTCATACTTAGACTTCTTGGTTAAACTGAAAGTTCGACGGCGAATCATGCAGCCCTCCCCGTTACCTTTGAGCATGTTCTCCTTGTTATGCAGAAGTTTGCTTCTTATATCTCGCTGTTTTTCTTGCAACCCACCGTGGATTTAAAAAAAAACCCACACCGAGTAGTATTAGGGCAAAATGAAGTAACTTGCATCGAGCGGTTTTCGAAATACACGTACATTACTTTTTCAGAATGCGTTAAAGGATCAAATAATAATACAACGTTTTTCCATTCATGATATCAAGTGATCATAATCATCTTCAGCATCTCATTAAGTTGTCAATCAAGTTATCTAAAATAAATAGCCCAGCCTGCACTTGAAAGTATCAGCAGATCCTATTCATAAAAGTGTGAAAATGTTGCAATTAGGAAAGCCAAAGGCGGAAAATCAAATATCATACTATCTCTTTAAACACTTTTTACTTTCAATCTGAAACATTACTTTAATTATTATGATGCAGTTATTTATTTATTTATTTATTTTACATCAGTGCATTTGATGGATTATGCTACACAGCTCAACTTTTACCCCATACATTTCTATAGTGTCTAATAACATCATTGGATAGAGCCACGCTTTTCACTTGTAGCTGTTTCAGAATCAGACTCCAGTTCGCCAGTGGTTATCAAATCCTCATTAGAGAATTTCAGAGCTGGGTTGACTTTGCCGCCATTTTCCTTTCCATACAGGCCAAATTTGGTCCTCTCGTCCACGCTGTCCCGTGAGGCGAGGACCATCTGCTCATCAGGGATGTTCACGATGCACTGGAAGATATCAAAGCGCCGAGGCAGGATGCCAGATTCGAACAAATACTTGGTGAGGTAAGACATCCCGATCAGAGAAGACAAAGTAATGGCCATCGACAGAGTTTTGAAAGGAAATGGTTGGGCGTATGTTTTTGAATTGTACCCCGGGTACTGGATGAGTGCTGGAAGCCCTATGGCAGGTTCTCCTCCAGCTACCCGGAAGAACAATCCCATGACATAACCAGCTAGAGAGCCGTAGGTGTTGGAGCTTTCAATGTATATCACACAGGCCAGTTGGGGAAACAAGATGACATATACGAGGTCAGCGCACAGAATCCACAGGGCGTAGATAGACTCCACACACAAAGCCATGACTAATGCAAGGGCAGTGACTCCGAAGATTGCTACTCGCATCACCCAGAGAACTTCTCGCTCGGATGCCTAGAGGGGGACAGAACGGTAAATACAGGCATTTAGTATTATGAATATAAACGTGAAATTTCAACAACCTCACAATAGTACGCAGTACAGACATCCGGTATAACACACACGCAATGCTTGTGATAGCAATGAAATGCAATACAGATCGTGGTGTCACAGCTTTGATGGGCTAGTAAAGGAGTACCAGAATAGGTTCGTATACAAGAGATGTGAAAGAACGTGTGGCACTTGACACACCATGTCCTATGCTCCCAAACTTTTAACGGTTAGAGCTCTTATTAAGAATTACGCTGTACGCTTCATTCCAGTCATACTTCGGAAAAAAATGACTTTTCAAGCTAGGAAGATTAAGACAAGCAGGACATAAACATGAGCACAAAAAGCACAAACTAAAAGCTCTAAAGGGAAGGGAAGTAATCTATGTGTTTTTACCACGATAACCTAAACTCACCACACTTCTGAACAGCGACCGGTAGACATTTCTAGCAAACATAGAGGCGGCAGAGAGAATGGACGAGTCTGCAGATGACATGACAGCAGCCGACAGAGCGCCCAGGCCAATGAAGGTAATGGCAGGAGGACAGAGATACTGCAATGTCATCGGTAGGATCATGGGAAGGTCTTCGGCGGGAATTGGCACTTTGCCAGGCCAGTTGGTTTGGTTCCAATCTGTGGACATAGAATGAGCAAGGTTATGAGTGAAGTAAAAATTTAAACATTGTATGAAGTGAATGTAACATTACAATTATGATATACCACCGTGTTGAAATTAGTTTTTTTCAGATACTTTTAATCAGTGTATGCGGTGTACCCACTTAATTCGCTTCCTGTGTGGTAATAATTTTTATCAAATATTTCCATTTTTTCTGTTGGAACGTCTAATCCCTCTCAGCCCTCGCTGCTTCTGACAAGCAGGGTCTAAGTCCGCCTCTGAAATGATCTAATTTGTGTCAAAGGGGCCGTTTAAAACTATTTTAAAACATCTTAATCATTTTGTCTGCTCGTGTGTTTTATGACATGTGTTCACACGGGTATGCAATTTGGAAAGTTGAGCACATAGCCTAAGGGTCAAAGTGAAGTCCATGAAATAACAAAGAACAACTGAAGTAAATAGTACTGAAGCCCAAATGAACATAATATATTATGTAGATTGTGCTTTTGTTACTCTCAAGCGATTGCGTGAGAGATCGAAGGAGGGTGAGGGAGGGGGTCAATGTTGTGACGTTATAACAACCTACGAGTTTTGAGAGAGGACATGCTTATAGATGCAAGCTTTACACGAATAGTTTCTCGTTTAATTGTGTCTTCCCTAAACTCACCAGTAGAAGCAGCAACGGCGCCGAGGATGGCAGCAGGGGTAGCCATGATGATACAGCCCACGGCTGCGATATAAGAGAGGATCTGGGCCTTGAGGGCTGTCTTGGAGGACAACACACGCTGGAAGTAGACCTGTAAGGAGGATATTTTATAAGAAAATTAGGAACAGTGCTCTTATTAGGGCAAGTACTGAACTTCAATACTGATAAATGGTCTTCTCCACTGCTGAGGATCAAAATCCAGGATTGCAAAAATGATAATATATTACGAACGATTTCCAAACAGTTTATACTGCTGTAAACCTTACTGCTTACATTGACATAATACATGTTTATGTATGTTTGTAACCTAATACACTAGAACTAGAGGATGTAGCTAACTGTTTCTTCAACTTAACGAAGATTCCAGCCTTGCCTACAAGAGGGAAGAAAGACCACTCTACAATCACCGAATCCCAAGAAGAGTTACATCCCATCGAACCCCAGAAAGGAAAATAATCTGTTCAAGGGAAACCATCATGAAATACAATTTAACTGTCTAATTACATCTCTTTATACTGCGATTCAAACTGCAAGGTTCCTTTTCTGCCCTCCCGCACTCATGGCCTTGAGGTTAAGGTGTTGGCCTTAAAAAAAATAGGTCCGGGGTTCGAATTCGGGTTATGCCGAAAAATTTTCTTCTCTAAAATTGTCTCCTTTCACCTCCTTTCACCTCCTTTCCTGCTCTCTAGGAAATATCTACACCTAGCCTTCTCGGACAAGGGCGAAAAATCTTGGAGGGCCCGTGTGCTAGTTTCGCACGTTAAAGATCCCTTGGTAGTCTAAAATCGATAAGAGTAGGCTTCGGTCGCCACCTGGGGAAAATTCAAAATTTCCTTCCACCTGAAAAAGTGTAATGTGTCCCGCGCGCCCATATGACCTTATGCAGTTGCGAGCGCCGTAAAACACTAACTCACCCCCCCCCCCCCCACCAAATAAAGAACAAAAAAAACCCCAAACTCCAACTTCTCATGTCTCATCTTTAGCGTTATGTATTCTGTACTTCAGGTTATTACGCTACTGAGTTGGTAAAGCCGTTTAAAGCTCAACATTTATTATCTCACAAAACCGACAACCAATATTAATAAGGTAATACGAATTTCTGTGTGTAGGCTCACAATTTAGCTAGGGTCGAGATAGAGAGGACAAGCCAGTCTTGCTTCTGTTTCTACAGGTAATTATCAGGGTCCCGTAGTGTGAGAGTCAATGCTCTGAGCTAATGTTAAAATAGAACCATGTTGAAGAAAAGGCTGAAAGAGATATCTGGACAGAATCATAGTAAGCACGGACAATAAAAAATACTACCACCCAGCAACAGACGAGGGAGAATGTTGCTTTACTTACAGTCTTGTCAGCTGACTGTATATGTAAATAGTTCAAATGCTCTGGCCAGCTTGTAGTTGTATCAATTTGCACTCCTCTTTCGAAAAACAAACAAAAAAAACAACTCAAAAGAGTTTAGTAGAGTGTTCAATTTTAACAACAAGCATACCAAGGTTCTATTTTTTTTGTGTGTTTTTTTTTTGTTGTTACAGTGGAGAGAAGCACATCGACTAAATAACAGCCATATAGTGTGCGTGTGTGTGTGTGTGGGGGGGGGGGGGGGAAGAGTAAGACGCAGACAAAAATTTCAAAGGGAGAGAACAGAAGTAGTTCCTACTAGAGGCGCCCTCCAACCACCGACTTGCATTTTGGTGTAGGTTCAAAGAGTGCAATGTTACAAACTTGATTATACTCACCCCCCAGGGAATGCCGCCAAACGTGAGCAGCAGGAAACTGTCAACATACATAGGCATGTCCGCAGTGTCGATTGGCAGGATCCAGTTCTGAGTAGCGTTGGCGGTTATGCCACTCACTGCCTCGTGTGTGAGAGCGAACGGCACACTTATCCACTGGGAAAAGAAAACGAAGGTATTATAAGATACGTCTTCCTAACAGATTTGTTGTTTTAATCACTCTTCAAGTTCACAACACCGGTAAACATCATCATTATATAGATTTTTAGGTAGGTGTTTTACACCCCAATGAACGCAGCTTAGATCATTTAGAAGGCGGATTTCCGATCATATCTGTTACAGCCAACACAAGCTGAAAATGATACAGCTTCCCAACAGAAAGACCGAGAAACGCGATAAAAATATAAACACAAACTTGTGAAACACACATGCAGACAGGGGCGAAGGCTGACTTGTTTGACAGGGTAATCAAAGGGAAACGGGACCAGACATGGCCTGGAGATATTACTATCACACAAGAATCTTACTCGAGGCAGCGACTCTTGAGTTGTGAATTGTGAATGAAAACAAATCCGGAATTCATATTGTATGTTCAACCACCAAAATAATCGGGAAAGTATCTTATTAAATATTAATTCCAACTAAAATTAAATTTAACTTTAGATGTGAATACACAAATACAAAGCAAAGAAGCAGAGATGTCGGTACTAGATCTACCCGTGAGTCTAACTCTTTGGTAGAACATGACAATTATCCTTTTTTTAAATTTCACATTAGGCTGTTTTTGTTTAGCATTTCGCGGCCAGGGGGCGGTGTCATAATCGGGGTCATGATCTGAATATAGGACGGTAAAAAGTCGAGGAAAAAAGCAAGCCCTTGCAGCAGTCAAGAGATTGTTAGGAGTTAGTTCCCCTCACATTTGTGAGGTAGACTCGACCAGTGTAATAGTTAGCTTACATGATCAGAGTTTGCGACTGCTTATAACTGTGGCCCCAAAGGGGTGAACAGGGTATTTGTGGCAATGAAACAGTTTTGACTGCTATGGACATGTTCTCTTCAACTCTATTGGTAGACTCTTCCAGCTTCACTTTAAGCTTACTTAATTAAAGCTTGTAACTGCTTATGGAGTGGCCCAAGAGGGGTGAGCAGGCTATTTATGTGACAGTGAAACCTTTTTGAATGTTAGGCATACTGTTCATTGTTGATTATGAACGTCCTTTTACATTTAATTTATGAGGTTTATGTTTAGAGGTGAATTTGGCAGCGACAATGTTTCAAAATTTGGAAGGGAAGCAGTGATTATTTGATTATATAGACACTTCGCCCCTGCATGCTGATGCCAGGAAAGTAATTCTGGACATATTATGTAAAGATCGAACCTAGACATTTTTAACAAGTACACCCTTAACGGTTTTTATTATCTAAAAATGATAATAACAACAACAATAATAATGATGATGATAATAATAATAATGATAATAATAATAAATAATGACAATAATAACAACAATAATAACAATAATAATATCCAATAATAAAAATAATAATAATAATAATAATAATGATAATTATATTGATAATAATACTACTACTAATAATAATAATAACAATAATAATAATAATAATAGCAATAACTATAAAAATAATAATATCCAATAATGATAATAATAATATTAATAACAGTAATAATAGTAATAACAGTAATTTTAGTAGCTTATCTGTTAATACCGAAAGATGGCCAATACATCTGCAGAGTAGTAGAATAGTTCATATTTCAATTGTCTAAAAGAACAGAAACTCACCAGTCCGAAAAAGATACAAAACAGCTGTGCGATATCTGTGTAGGCCACAGAGTACAGACCGCCTATGAGAGTATAGAACAACGCCACACAAGCAGAGATGATTATTGCTGGCTTAGGCTCCATCTCAACTATCACAGACAGTGTGGCTCCTGGAGAGACGTGAAGAGAAAGACACAGACAGAGATTGAGAATTATATACAAAAAAAGGAGTTCGAGAATTATAGTTAGTATGCATACACTTTTATTTATCAATTGAGTCAGTGAGATCAGGTCTAAGTAAACAAACGTATCTTAATCTCTCACTATCTCGTTAGAAGTCTCGATCAGTCTCTCTCTCTCTGTATGCATGGGGTCGCTTTTAAGAACAAGTGGGCTAACCCAGATTTCGGGGGTTTCCAGAAATCTTGACCAACACCAAAAGTGGGCATTCCCCTACCTAGATCTATAGGAGAAATTTGGTTTCGATTGTGTGTACATTTGTTTGGTTTTAGTTTTAAGGAAAACTCCTCGTCTTTAAAAAAACTGAGCAAGAGTCCAAAAACTTTACCTTCGGTTTTCTTATAACAGCGTTTTTCGGGATAGCCCCCTTGTGCTTAAAAGCAACCATATATCCCCAAGAGAGTGTGGCAGGTATCTCTCTCGCTATCTCTCTCTCTCTCTCTCTCTCTCTCTCTCTCTCTCTCTCTCTCTCTCTCGCTCGCTCTCTCTCTCTCTCTCTCTCTCTCTCTCTCTCTCTCTCTCTCTCTCTCTCTTCCCTCTCTCTTTCTCTCTTCCCTCTCTCTCGCTCACTCTTTCTTTCTCTCTCATCACCCCCCTCTCCCTTTCTCTTCCCCATTCTTTCCCACTCTCTCTTTCTCTTTCTCTTTCCTCTTTCTCTATCCCCCTCTCCATTCCCTTCTCTCTCTCTCTCTCTCTCTCTCTCTCTCTCTCTCTCTCTCTCTCTCTCTCTCTCTTTCTCTGTGTTTCTTTCTTCTGCTTCAAGTTATCATCTCTTCTCAATTTCCTCGCATTCTTTCAAAAATCGTGAGTGAGGTTGCTACAGAAAGCTATATATTAAGACCGTAACCTTAATTCCCAACTCCACAGTTTGGGTAGAGTACTGTTTAGATTCTTTTGCTGTACAAGCAGTAAACCCAGTTCGATTCTCGGTTTGACAGGTGTTACAACGTTTGCATACTGAAATGTCGCATCCTCCTCAGCTTCAGTTGGTCCTGACAGGCAGGGTCGAAGAAAACCGCCCCCTTAAAATGAACTAAATTGCATTGATGGGATCTAAAAACATTTGCAGCAAGTTACATCAAATCTTACCCAAAGCAGCCAACACCGCGCCAGTCCAGAAGACCTCACCCAACAGCGCGGGTACGAACAGCAGACCGCCCATCCTTTCGCCATATTTGTGCTGGAAAGGGTCAAGCATGGTCACGTAGCCTTCTGAGCGCATTCTGTTGGCGAAAAAGAGACCACCTGCAAAGAAACCATTGTAAGGGTCAATAAATGGTTGTGTATTGATAATTAATGTGTTCAAAGGTGTCTTTTGATATATTTTTCTCTCGGTGATACCATAGTGGAATACACGGATATAAAGAGAGATTATGTTTCGAATGAAGTAGATGTAAAGACAAATAGACCGAACGATAAAACAGATGGACAAACAGTGAACAGATAGATGCAAAAGGGGGGAAACTGGTGGGGCGAAAGGGTGGGGTCGGGGGGGGGGGGGGGAGGCAAGGTGAGTTGAAAATGTTTTTCGCCAATATCCAGTACAGGCATAGGAGATTTAATGGCCCTAGCCTGAGGTTTCATGCCCCAGGTGCACATTTTGGAAAGATATAAACTAGCTGACAAAATGAAAGACTTGCTTGATTAAGGATATTTTGTAAACGTTTTGCAATATAGAGAAACCCAATGGACCTGTACAATGGATTCTTTTCATGTTAAAAGACGAGAAGTAGTAACGGTCCCATTAAACAGAATCAAGCAACCCGCGGTATAATTTCCCTCCACTACCCACAAAACTATGCCCTCACCGAAGACAAGGCTAAGGGCGTATCCCACAGGAGCCTGGCACCAGAGCAAACCGGAACTGACGATCACTTCTGCTGTTCCGTTGATGTAGGCTCCGCCCACCCAGGTCGCTGAGGAAAAAAAAAGAAACAGAGATGATACAGAGGTAGGTAACTGTCCACAAATACCGAAATTGGGTGCACATTGGTTTGATTCAAAATAATTCAAAAGGGTCGTCTGAGAACAGTTTACAGTGTTTGGTGGTTCACTTAGGATAGAAAGAAAGATTAGAAACGACTTTGGTAAGGGACTTGAGTGTAGAAAATGATTTTCATGAGATATTTTGTTTTAATGAAGAAGAGATTACTTCAGGAGGCCCAATACGTTAGTTTTAAGACGTAATGTACATTCGCCATTTATTTATTGATACGAAAAGTGCTCAGCAATTATTTGTTCCCGGTAAAAGGACAGATGCCAATAGGTTTAGCGGACCTTTAAAAGAAACAAACATATTATGTGCATTAATACGGGTCCTCCGTAACCTTACCTAACTCCCCTAGCCCACAACTTTACTGAATACAGCATCGTTTAGTTTTATTTTCCTTACATAACATAGACGGCAGTTGAGATTAACAAAGTAAGTTTGTTTTTAATTTTGTTTTAATGTGTTTCTTCCTTAGCTTTTTGTGTTACCGGATTTTTTGATTTTTTTGTGGTTTTGTTTGTTTGTTTGTTGTTTTATTCAGTCTTAAGGTGTTTTTCTTTGTTTTTCTTTAAATGATGAAATGGCACACCTTGACATAATACTCCTGTTGATGTAGTATTTTTAGAATAAAATGTTTTTCACATTTTTTACATGACACCCCCCCCAACTGAAATACTGAAATGAAACAACAGCTATCTCGACCCCTGGAGTCTGAAGTAAAACAGCGAGTACAAAAATGAGTCTGTTTCTCTCGTATAACGGAGTGTATTCCCCCAGGGGCATCTATGCTAATTGGGGAAAAAGCTTTGAAAATTCAATTATAAGACCAGTATTGGCTAACAGTTTGTCATCAGTCGAAGTGGTGGGTGCTTCTCTGATTACTAGACTTGGACCAGTTTTTAAGCTTGGAGATGGCAAGGAGCTCACATTTCCGTTATTCTATTTTTGCATGCGAAGCGTCTGGGTCTACGTGCCAGGGTGTGCGCTTCCGTTCGTGCATGCATTTTTATTTGCATTCGCAAATCTTTGTTAGGTTACGTGTGTATACGAGAGAAATTGTCGTTATGTGAAGCAACCATGTGTGTGTGTGTGTTTGTTTGTGTGTGTGTGTGTGTGTGTGTGTGTGTGTT